TTGCCAAAGCCAGAGCTGCCAACATTGCCGAAGCCCGAGCTGCCAACATTGCCAAAGCCAGAGCTGCCAACATTGCCGAAGCCCGAGCTGCCAACATTGCCGAAACCCGAATTGCCACCAGTATCCCATGTTCCAACTTTGCCAAAGCCTGAAGGTCTCAAGTTGGCAGAAGAGCCCCATGTCCCTGAGCTTCCAAGGCAATTGCCACCACTTCCTAATTTCCCAACTTTGCCAAAGCCTGAGTTGCCAAAGTTGCCTGAAATTCTACCTCTTCCCCATCTCCCAGCTGACCTACCTAAGCCCACATTGCCCTCCATCCCAACCCTCCCCAAGGACACCCCCCTCCCTTCTCTCATTCCACCCCACAAAACCACCCATCCTTGAATATTCTTAAATATTTGTTTTAATTAATTTGTTTCACTATTTATATCTATGTCAGGGTTTATGGCATACACATATCTTTGTATGTCATGTCCTGTGTTTATTTCTGATCATGTATTTGCTATATATGAGTATTAATGTATAAGGGTTCTTATTCTTACTACTGTTGGGTTATTACTCTTAATATTCATTCTTACACTTGTGTATCCGTATAAGAAGGAATGAACTAAAATTATCTTAGTCTTTCTATTTTTTGTGTTTTTAAGCTTCAAGTCAGCCCTAATAATAGCTCTCAAATCAATGAAGATTCAAAGTTGATTAATTTAGGGCCTGTTTGATAACTATTTCAATTTTACTTTTTAGTTTTCATTTTTTGTGCTAAGAAAGGAAAAGGAGGGAGAATGAAAGTGAGAATGAGAGTGGAGATAGGATCGAGAGGGAATATTTGTAGAGAAGTGACGCAGCACAAGCAAATAAGGTTTCAAACGAAAACCTTGAGTAACAAGAAAACTGGAATCCACCAGAAATTAAGAGAAACTCTCTTTGATTAATTTGATTAAAATCTGAACTGCCAAAAAACGTTAGACGAACCCGTCTAAATACACAACTCTCAACCCTTGTAACTGCTAGGGGAGTTATTACAAATAAAACTGAACAACAGAATTAATTCGGAGACTTAACTACGTAACTCCGAAACTGAAAAAAACAGAATTTATTTTGGGAATTAACTATGTAACTCCGAAACGGAAAAACAGAATTTATTTGGAATTAACTTCGAACTTTGAATGCAGTTTTGAAAGGCCAAACGACTCCAGAATGCCAAAATCCATCGTACATCACAGCAAAGCAGTGAGTTTGACTCGTGGCATCGTTCCCTTTCCGAAATGGTATTTTGCTCCCTAATCGGAGCTCGGACGACAATTCTGCAAATTCCCACCACGTCCCTTTTCTTGCTCAACCGTGATAAAATCTGCCATCCGCGATAAAATCTGCCATCTGTTCTACATCAAATCCTTGCATTGGATGCAGTGAGAGGGAAATGCAAGCCCTCCTTGCATTTAAACAAGGCCTCGTGGATGACGACAATCGCCTCCTTTCATGGGGAAGAGAAGTGCAAAACAAAGACTGTTGCCAATGGGCCGGAGTCTACTGCAGCAACCACACTGACCATGTTGTTAAGCTTGAGCTTGAATACGAATCTTTGCAAGGTACGATTAGTCCTAAACTCGTTGAGTTGCATCATTTGGAGTATTTGAACCTAGGTTTCAATAATTTCAATGGTTCAATTCCTGATGTTTTCGGAAACATGAGCTCTCTTGCATATCTTTCTCTCTCTGGTAGCAGACTTAAAGGAGGGATCCCAAATTCGTTTGCCAAGTTATGTAGGTTGCGAGAGTTGCACCTTGATGGTAATAGCCTGAGTGGACAATTTTCAGACTTTATTGACATATTGTCTAAATGCGTTCAAAACACATTAGAGATTTTGGATATCTCTTTGAATCATGGCATTATGGGTTCAGTGCCTGATCTCACGAACTTTTTATCATTGAAATACTTGTTGCTCAGGGGCAATAAATTAAGTGGAAGAATACCTGAAAATATTGGACAGATGTCCAAGTTGGAGGTTATTGATTTTGGTAGGAATTCTTTGGAAGGAGTGATTTCAGAAATCCATTTCTCGAAACTCTTCAACTTAATGGATTTGTCTTTATCCTCTAACTCACTAGTTTTAAACTTCAGTTTTGATTGGGTTCCTCCCTTCCAGTTGGAATCGATAATGTTGAGGTCTTGTAAGATGGGGCCGTTTTTCCCAAAATGGCTTCAAACTCAGAAAAAGGTTTTATTTCTTGATATTTCTGATAATGGAATTACTGATACCCTTCCCAGTTGGCTTTCACATGGATTATACTCTACGGATATCTCTCAGAATCAAATTAGAGGAACACTTGGGAATTGGAAATCGACGTTTCCACCTCAGCTAAATGTGAGTTGGAACCAATCGGAGGGTCCAATCCCTTCAATGTTATCAGAAATTTACTTATTATTCGATCTATAGATCTCTCTCATAATAAATTTTCAGTGGCAGCGGCTTCTTTTTTGTGCACAACCAAGGATGGTAGTTTAACTTTTCTTGATATCTCAAGCAACCATATATTTGGAGAACTTCCGGATTGCTGGATCCATTTAAAAGAATTAGTCTTTCTTGATTTGAGCAATAACTCTTTATCTGGAAAAATTCCTACCACCATGGGGTTCTTGTTTAGAATTGAGACACTAAGACTAAATAACAATGGATTTGTGGGAGAGTTGCCTTCACAGTTCAAGAATTGCAGAAACTTGACACTTTTTGATCTTGCGGAAAATAAATTATCGGGATCAATACCTGAATGGTTAGGGGCAAGTTTCCCAAATTTGACTATCCTTAACCTTCATTCTAATAACTTCTATGGAAGCATCCCACCACAATTATGCCATCTCACTCGTATTCAACTTTTGGATTTGTCAATGAACAACATCTCTGGAACTATACCCAAATGTCTCAATAGTTTGACTGCTTTGACTCAAAAAGGAAGTTCAAGTCAAACTATCCGACATTCCTTTTTAGATGATCATCTAGGAGGATACATTTCAGGGCATTATGATGATCAAGCATCTTTAACATGGAAAGGATTCAGAGCTGAATTTAAAAGTAATCTAGGACTTCTAAAGAGTATTGATCTC